AGGCAAGGTAGAAAATGAGGAGAACTGAAAAAGAAAAGAAGAACAAAGTAAAAATAAACAGCAACGCGCACCAGACTAGCCGGTACAATTATGCGTTTTGTGCAGTTCAGTCCATCGGACGATTGCCTATTGATGATTCTCACTGTTTTGTACTTTAGTCTATGCAAAAATAGTTCAAACACTGGAAAATAGTTAAAAATTTCACGCACCAGCGCATGAAAGCTGAATTCGAAACCTTGAAGGATGCTCCCGTGATTCCCGAGTTATTAGTTCACCCGCCAAAATCACGAAGCCGTAGGTGATACTCAAAAGCACGGGAACGCTGAATTTGAATGGGGAAGGTATAGCGCGGGCGGGGGATCATCACCCTAAAATTTCAGCCTCCTATATTCCGTGGTTCCCGAGATATTAATTTACCCGCAAAAAACATTCACGGGGCCGTACGTGTTACGCGCGAGTACGGGAAGGCTGAATTTAAATTTGCGGCGTCACCCGTTGGCGTGGAACACTATACCAAAATTTCAGCCGCCTAGCTTTTGTGGTTCCCGAGTTGAAAGCACGGGACAAAATGTGGGACACACACATACACACACGCACATACACACACACACACAGACAACCCCGTGACAATATGCATTTTGTAATGCTGTTACACAGCATAAAACATAAAAAAAAAAGGGAGTTATTAAAATATTTGTAATTGGTAAGAAGTGCTTTTTTCTGACATAAATCTACTTGGTCTTAGCAACGTGAGAAAAAAAAAGAACAAAGAATGCATCACAAGAAAATATTCGAAATTTCGAAACACTTCAATCAATTGACCAATTCGTTTAATCTTTCTTCCTCCGCCAACTTTCCCAGCTTCTTTGACCAGTGGTCAGCTCAGTGGTCACTATGGTCCTGGTCTCGTCTACAAAAAAGATTATCCAACAGTCCTCTGGACAGGAACACCTCGCCAAAGGCTTTAGCTAGTGCTGTATTTTGAGCATTACCACTCAAAAACACCACAACTGCTTGACCACGGTGAGACAGATACCTCACTATACCCAGACAAAACACCAGCAAGGCGAAAACCCGGAAACCAACCCGGAAACCAACCCCACTAACATGGATACACCAAATTTCAATTACTAAACCTCGGCTCGGCTGGCAATCGCGGAACGCTCTAGCTTCTCTGCTAACGCTATTTCGTGGTGCAACTTTCAGGCACTTGGCTTCCACTGAATAAGTGTGATTGTACTGTACACAGCGTTCGAAGATCAGCGTCCTAGAGTCTAGTGAGCGCTTAGTTTGATGAGTGAGTACTGTCTGCATCACTGGCCAGCACTGTTAGTCGGGATCCACTTAGTGTTACGTTCTCGACTA